TGAAAATATTCCAGAGCGTTTCCATGCAATTTAACTCCCCTCCTCAAGTCAGCGTAAGCAGACACTGTAGCATCTTCAGCTTGAACACTTCAGTCAACAGAAGCTTTCTTCGGACCTCCCCTTGTGTTTCACCTCCCACATTCTCTACTCCCAATCGGAGACCTGATATGTCAGAATAAGCATGCCTGCTCCCCCCCCCCAAAAAAAAAAAAAAAAGACTGATGAAAGTGTGTCTCCTTCCCATCAAAACTGATCCCACTGACAGGATTCCATTCCTGAAATGCTATTGCATGCTCCACCAGCTCATGCTGCAGGGATAATCTTTTCACCTGCTGGAGGCAGCAGTCAGCTCTTGAAAAAGGGAACAAAATCAAGAACACATGCATTGTCTCCATTTGCTTGCACAGAGCAGGCACGCTCAACTTTTTGGAATGGCAAACTGAGATGTTTAACATGCCAAAATAAAGATTTTCAGAGTGTCTCCTCTTTCATGCTGTTTAAAAATCATGTCTATTTTAGGTCTTTGGTACCACGGTGGCTGTTTTGCCCAAGTAACTCATCTGCACTGAACTAATTCTGTACCAACATTCATGAGCGTGTTTAACAAGTTGTAACCAACACAGCAGGCATCTTGCCAGTCACAGCTGAACAGCAATGAAATCTACACACAGACATTTAGGAAAAAGTTATTCGCTATTTCAGAAGAAAGGGGGAGGAGGTATTTGTGGTTTTTATTTTACAATATTTCTGTAACAGCATAAGGATTAAGAAGGAAATATCCAACTTTAGCCAGACATAAGGAAAACACACAGAGCAGAAGTATCATTACAGGTGCACACTATAATAAATTTTGATTTGCTGTTTGGCAAAGAAATTGCATTTTAGCATAGTTCTCAAACTTTTTTCCAGTAGAGTACTTTGAGGGTTTGTTTGTTGCCTTTTTTTTTTTAAAAAAAATAACCTATTTTCACTCTGGATACTTTCATTCCTTGAGAAGTGTACTCTATTTCATTCTAAATTATTTCATGCCTCAATGCAATATGAAGAATTTGAATAACAAAAAAAGAACAGTGATCACATTGAATCACTTCCTCAGTATTTTAGACTCATTATGACCATACTTTAAAACAAAAAGTGCTGGTTTTTTACACTACCACCCACATATATCTTTAAAAAGACAGAAAATGAACAAACAAGATATGCGTGACTGATTTCCCAAACATTTCTGCAACAGCGTTTGAAAAAGTAGTTTTTAGAAATGTTCTTGTCTATAAAGCAAGAAGTTCACATACAGGCACAGAAATTAAGCTAAATGCTAGTTGTACCTACTTCGACAGCCAGGGATCACCACATTGCTCTCTGTTATCTACTAACAGTGTGCAGGTTTCCAGTCCTGTTACTATGAACACAAGCAGTTTCATTTATTCCCAGGAAAAAATTTATCCTGATCACCTTAAAACTGTCATTTAGCTAGGACAGAGATATCTTTTATTTCCTTTGAGGTATGTGTGCATTTTGGTTTGAAACCAAAGGATACACATTGCCTAAAGTTATACTCCTTTTGGTGAGCACAAGTTGCTTCCAATCTTACTTACAAGCTTGTATTTTGCCTTCTTAGACCTAGAACTCCGAAATTCAACTGAAGGCCATTAGTTTTGTAGAAATGTAATTCAGGAACAACCACAGGTTACCTCATGATTTAATGGAAATCACATGACAAAGCAAGAGTATGCTAAACAGCAATATGCAAGCTTATGCTTAGTGTATTAACTTCATAAATCAATCAACAAGTTGCAAACAAGTTAATTGTGTCAAGATTTTATCTGTGGTAGCAATCTTTCATGCCTTATTCGTATGTGGCATTACCTCAAGTTGATTGGCGAAAACCAGCAGAAAAGCCAGAAATCCTTTAAACAGTTTGTTTACCAACAAGAAAGCACAACAGAGACAGAAAAGAAACATTGGTCATCTTTCCCAAAAGCCTGCATAAAGAACTGCATTGTACCTTTTGAATTACAGTAAACTGACCCTCATCATCCAAGAAATAACTTGGATAAATTTGGATAATAATCCTAACCAAACGTTGTATGAGAAAGACTAGAGGGCTGCAACCCTGAAACTGTGTTCCAGGTTTTCATTACATTTGCAGAATTAATCTTTTTGTTTAGGAATGGCAAATCCTCAGTACAATTACACTGTTCTGTATCAAGGACAAAAGCAGCTAATGCAAGCATAAGGTTACCTTTACAGCTGCTGTCACTGCAGCAGTTGCTGCCAAATTCAACCCTTGCCTTCCAAAATTCACCATGGTCTCATAGCTTCTTTCTTTGGCTTGTACGATGTACTCATCAATCTCCTAAAAGCGAAACAGACATTTCAGAGGGCTGTGCATAAGTCACGTTACTCCACAGTATTATTTTTCCATCACTAAAGGAAGACAGAAGAAATCTTTAAGAAAATACTTAATGGGACAATTACTCTTGCCTTTGTATACTGAGGTTTCATTCACTTATATTCTCTTTTAAAAAAGGATTATCTCTGGTCAAACAAGAAAACAAAATAGATCGCACTTGTCCAGCTCAAACACTGCAGCTACACAGCAAGTTCCTTAGAGAGAGTAAGCTTAACTGGTCAGACAAGAGTAGTTCCAGAAATAACATGCTCAAGATGAAATCAGAGAGCTCCTTAGAAAGGTAGAGTCTGCTCACAAAGAACTTCTGAAGCCAGAGCTTTGACACAGTTAGGTACCAAGGACAATACAGTCATGACATTTATCCCCAGCTGTGGTAAATGCCTGGAGTTGGAGATAAAGGCTTCAGAGTAGCTCACAACAGCTAGCAGACTACGGGGACAAATCCCTTTAGCTTATGAAGCTGCAAACAGTTTATAGTTCAACCTTCAGAAGGTCAAGATAACCTCACTGTTCTTATCAGTGGCACTCATGTCAGCTACCTGTTTGGGCTAATAAAGGCCAATACCAGCACTGACCTCTATGAATGCTATTTTCTGTACCATGCAGTTTTTCAGTGGTAGTCTTCAACCCTTTGCTAATCGCTCTTTCCACACATCCAAACAGGATACTGGAAAAGACCTAGGCAGATCTGTGGCCCTGCCACACTTTGGCTAAAGCTAACTATCCTGCAGCTATTTTCTGTGGCAGACTGGTCTTCCCTTAAACCTCAGCAGAAATTCTCTCTTATCGTGTCAGTTTGCACACCAGAACTGATGTCATTCCTCCTCCTCAGTTTTATTACTAGCTTGTTCTAGAAAAAATGGTAACAGGGAGAGCTGTTGCTAAAACTGCATTCATGCTTCTGCACAGAGCGTGCTGCACATGTTCTTCAGTAGAAAGTCAAACTGCGTTACTTCCACTCAGCTGGGCTCCCAAAGTGCACTATGTAGACCAGAGAACACCAGGCTATCTCATGTCAATGCAAAGTTAAACTTATATATGGACAGTCCTATGCACTGGCCTCTGCTAGTTCATGCTGCCTGGCAAACCACTTACACACTGATCTGCTTTGATTGTGTATCTAGCAACAGTTATTATTTCAGCATATAGTATTTCTATATTATGCATTAAAAATATGGGAAGTTACTTCTTACCCTTTCTTTAGACGAAAGAAGCGGGTGGAGAAATTTCCGGTAGATTAAACTTGCCCCTCTCGTATATGGGGAAAGGAGCCAAATAACAAAAGCTATCTTCAGTTCATAGTACAGTGGAAACCTACAGACAAGTTAAAGTTTCCATTAAATGAAGAACTGCAGTAAGAAAATGCACAGTAAGTAATCATCATGAAGAGATCGCAGTAAACAAATTAAACAGCACATAGGATTCTTCACATACAAGAAGTGATATTAGAGAAAAATTAAATTATAGACCTATGGATTCGATTTCAGCAAGCTTTAAAACACATTATTCTTCACATACACGGAGATCGTTTCCCGAAAGGAAAAAAAAAAGGGGGGGAGGGGAGGCCACCAACAAGCCCAACTTCTTTATAAAAATTAATGCATTACAAATCAAAAAACATCAGAAACTATATTTGTTTTATCCAGAGTTCATAAAAGGTAGGCTCTTACCAGGAGACTGTTAGGTCAGTTATTGTTTCAGAAACTGTATAAAGAGCAAACACAATCCAATACATCATCCAACGAACCTGAAAATTAAAACACCATCTTCAGCAAGAATTTTGATTTCACCTTTACTCAGAATACACTATACTCTGTACAGTTCAGAGCTGTCAAAGCAAGACATTCAACAGTATCTCAGTATGCATCAACCGGTCTCAAGTGAAATTACATGAAGGTCCTAAGGGTTTTCTTTTCATAAGTAGAACTGGTAGCAGCTGCAACAAGCTAAGTGAAATGGCTGGGTCACCAGGGTCACAACCTCACAGATCTCATGCTGCCTCTAGAAACCTTTAGTGATGAGAAAAAACACACACTGGAAAGAGTCAGTAGATTATCACAAGTATGAAGCTCAATTCCCACTATAGCACTAAAGGGTATTTCACACTCTTCCACACTCATCCATAAGGTTATACCACACACGCAAAACTCAGCATTAGTAAGTCAGGTAGCCCTTGCCTTCACTTCACAATATACATTGTTCAGCTGTACTTTGCAGTTAAGTTCTACATGTATGCTTAGCATTATGGTGTTAACACCAGAGCGAGGCAGGAAAAAAGCATTTTCATGGAAACTTAACTCCATTCATATGCTAAGAACCACAAAATTCTTGTTAGTAAAAGCGCTCACATGTAAGAATCTTAATGCTTCAGGGGTTTACATCTATATACAATTTTGTTCTGTTTTTAAGATTTACACTACACCTCGTTTTGAAATCAGACAATGCTCTTAAAAGACAAGTTTTCCTTCTGTTTGCTAACAGTTAACTAAATCGCTCCTTTGTCTAGAATGTTTGTTCAGATGTGGTCGACTAAATTGATTACATCTTTCTACAATTACAGAAATAGTTCCATGCATTTATCTTCTCTCAGATATCAACTACAATGTGTTTCCAAAATAGGCCAGTGCAAACCACCAGTGGTTATTCATACTAACTGCACGCCCACATGTCCTTTAAATTCCAACACTATCTAGAAAACTAGAAAGAAACCAAAACAGTTTAAAAAAAGAAAAGAGAAGGCAAGCCATCACCCGCAACCAGATGCAGTCACCTCATTTCGTCTGCGATATACAGACTACTAACTCTTCTGGTCTACCACAAAGCATTAAACACCGTATTTGTTAGACACTAGTTCGAGTCCTAAATTCATGGTGCTCTTTCAAAAGGAGGAATATATATACTTTCCTACAGAGGATGTGGCTCAGATTTAATTTTCAGTTTTAAAGCAATCTTTTTTTGAAGTGGACTTAAATGAGTACTCAGAACTTAATGCTACACTGCTGCCCATTTCATAGCTGTGCATTATGCCTTAGAAGCACTTCCTTTGTCACAACCTGAGACCCATTTATGTTAAATGCTTTTCTGCATTTCAGTTTGAAAAGAAACTCAGTCATGTGATGACATTCTTCTCTTCAATCTCTCAGGGGATTTAGGTATTTCAGGCTTGAATAAACTAAGACAAACGTACACAACAGCTGAAGTCATCTCTGACAGGCCATGTGACATTGAGCCTGGTGACCCTTCTGTGAACCAGAGTCAACACCTGAATAAAAATAAAATTCACATCCACCCTTGCCCCGTCAACCTAAGTATGATGAAATGCAATTTCTAAGATGCCATGCAAGGCAGCATTTTTTTTCCAATATATATTATCCTGGCTATTCTTTAATCAACATCTCTTCAAACAGTTAGGAACAACAGTAGAAGTGGAGTTTCTCCTGGGCTGAAAGGAACAGCAAAGAAATGCTCTGCAGAAAGGCACATGAGATCTGCCAGGAGTCCTGCTGGTCTGGGCAAAGGTTCTCACCGTAAACACAAGTCAAATCACATTCTAGTACAACTAATGCATTAGGTATCAAAAGTATCCTTGACAAATGAACCTGAGTGACTAACAGTGATTGTCATACCAGAAAAACAAAAGCAGGAAAAACAGAAGGTCATGTTTGACACTGCCCAGAAGACTATCATCTACTCTACTCTTGAAGATGAAGTTACAGAAGCTTCAATTGAGTTTTGCTTTTTATGTTAAAGGGTGATTACAGATTTGTGTTGTTGAGTTTTTTTTTGACCATCCAAAAGTGCTAAGCTCATCTTTGTTGGCTTTGGCTGAAGCACATCCTTTCAAGTCAGGATTTTGAAGCCAGGATTTGAGAAGACTCATCATTCAGACTTCTAAACTACATTTCAGATGCTTATTACAAGCACTTTGGTGTAACAATGAAAAAACTCCTCAAAGATCAAAGACAACTCCATTAAACCAGGGTAATTACAAAACCAAGTAAATCTACTCAAAGGCACAGATCCTGATTTCTAGAACTAAAGTCCCTAAGTCTTTTAAATTACAAAAGCCAGCAGCAACACTTATTTTTTCCTCAACAGAAATTATCTTTGAACAGTTTGCTGTATCATGACCTATACAGCAAGTCTAGATGTCCGTACTTTTTGTTTGTTGGTTTTGTTTTTTTTTAACCAGTGGAAGCAGTGGCTAAGTAAAAAGTGCCACTGTTATAAAGCTGCTGCAATCCAGC